TGGTAACAGATGTCACAGAAAGAAGATATGTGGTAACATATGTCATAGAAAGGAGATATGTGGCAATATTATATTGTCATCAATTATTCATTTTTGCTGATAATATTAATATTAATGATTATTAATATTATATTTATTTTGTTGGAACCGAAATGTCAATTATGATGGAAAGGAAGAAATGTGGTGTCTGTGGCAACATATATAACCTATGTTGTTAAAAACACCACAGAATTATCTGCATGTGCCCCAACAGAAAGGGTATATGTGGCAACATATGTCACACTTTAAATTGTCAAAATTCAAAAAAAGAAATTGAAAAGGTTTAAAACAATCGTCCCTTCATTTTTCCCTCTCTCCTCTCCCATATAAAAGGTTGTTTCATATTCCAAATTTAATTTATTTTTACTAATTTCCGTTTTCTTGTCTCTTCTTTCCTTCCTTTCTCTCGTTCCATTATTCCTTCACAGATCAAGGTTGTTGTTGCGATATTTTCTACAACATCAGTGGTAATCTGTTGCAATCCTCTTCTACAACAAGGCGTCGTTGCCCTCATCATTTCTAGTTTATCGTTAATATCTTGTCAGGTAAAATTTAATTAGGGTTTTGAGAAATACTTACTATATTAAATCAAGACATTTTTAGTGGTTTTATCACTTATTTCTTTGTAGGATTGTTGGATAGTTATTCCTTTTGAAATATTATCTGATTTCAAAAACCTTAATTTGTAGTTCGTTGGTTAGGGTTTAGGGAGGGTTTTGTGGTTTGTTGGTTGGTTCATGTGTGGTATTGAATCGTATTTGTTGTTTGTGTTGTTGTGTTTGGTTGTTGTTATTTTTGTTAAGAAATATTTGATTTTTGTGGTTGCAGATACAAATATAATGGCTCCTGTCAAAAGAAAAATTGTATTAACAAAAGAAACAACTGATACAAAGATCCAGAAGAGGCCTAGGACTAGAACTTGTAGGAAGAAGAATGAAAATTCGACTACCACTCTTTTAGAAGAACTAGCATCTGAAGCAGTTTCTTCTTCTCAAGTAGAAGCAGAATTTTCTCAAAAAGAATATGAAGAAAGAGAAAAAGAAAAAAATGAAGTAGATGATGATGGATCAAATATATGAAGAAATAGAAAAAGAAAAAAATGAAGTAGATGATGATGGAGAAAGATCAGAAGAAGTTGAGGAAGAAGAGGGAAATAAAAAGAAGTTGAGGAAGTTAAAGGAAAACAAAAAGAAGTTGAGGAAGAAGAAGGAAAAAATAAAGAAGTAGTTTAGGAGGAAGAAGAACAAATAAATGAAATTGATGAAGACAAAGGAAAACAAAAAGAAGTTGAGGAAGAAGAACAAGAAAAAAATAGAAGTTGAGTATGATGGGATCAAAACTATCAATGCACACACTTTTCCTGTGCAAATCAGCCTAATGCTACTGATGATAGCATTATGAGGTCAGCAATGGGAAAACCTTTCGACACCTTCAGGATCACCCTCAAGCAGAATGGTTTGGAAGATTTTTTTTGGAATAGTTGTTTTGGTCATTTTCTTGATTTGCCAGAGAATAATAATGCACGTTTTCAAATGACCATGGTCTATGAACTTCTGAAAAGAAGGTTCATTTTTCAAAATCCTGAAAAGAATGATGCGGTTTTGATTAATTATTGTGGCATGCCACTCTTTTTTGGCAGAAGAGAGTTTGTCATAGTTTCAGGGTTAAAATGTCATCCTCCTTCTGAGCCAGTCCCTGAATTCATAGTAAAAAAAGAACCACGGAGACGAAAGAAAAGAGGAAAAGAAGAAACAAGACAGTCAACTGAGGAGCAGAACTTGATGTCCCTTGTTGGCACTAACTTCAAAAATCCTGATTTAATATATTTGTTGAATGTCGAGGATACACCAAGGAAGCACACGGAGTCATTGTGCTTACTTTGGTTTGTACATAATGTACTTTTGGCCAGAGATCTCAACAACAACATATCCCTTAAATGGGTGAATTTATCTCAGGATATTGAGGCTTTCAACAACTATCCTTGGGGTTATGAGAGCATTGAATTGACTGTCAAATACTTGTTGAAACCTTTAGGACCAAAGACCAATAATTTATTTGGCTTTCCATGGCCTTTCATGGTAAACATAAATGTTCTTAATCTTTTTATAGTATATTAAATAATTCAACATTTGATTTGTGACATGTTTTCCTTTTTTATAGGCTTGGGCAATTGAATCCATTCCTCATTTGACCCATCAAGTAAATGTAGAAGAAGAGATCTCATCTCCAAGGATATTAAGATGGTTAAGATCTAAACAAAAATTGCCAAAAATAATCCAAATCTTTATAACCCTCCTCATGATGCAGTAAGTTATTATTATATTACACCCATATATGTAGCAACATGTGACCCAAATGTTGCTACATATGACTCATATGTAGCACATATGATCCATCAATCGCAACATATGATACAAATGTTGCTACAGATGACACATATGTTGCTACAGATGATCCCTCTGTTGCAACATGTGACACAAATGTTGCTACAGATGCCCATATGTGTCAACATATCACCCATCTGTAGCAACATATGACACATATGTGGCAACATGTGACCCAAATATTCCTACAGATGACTCATGTTTATAATTTTAGGTTGTGCATCCATGGCTTGTCCCAACATGTGACCCACAACAAGAGCATGCAGAGACTTAAATTTGACCAAGGTGGTAACATCTTCTCAGGGAAATTTGAGTGTGATGAGAGGAGGAGAGGAGAAAGAATAAAGGAAAGAAAATATAAAATGAGAGCTTATTTTGTGAATTAAGGGAACCCTAATTAACCCTTTTATAATGAGTGAGAGTGAGTGGAGTATTCTAGAATGATCTGTTACATTACGTGTTGAATTAACCCCAAAAGACCATTTTATGATATACATATGTTGCCACATATGACATGTCTGTTGAGATTTATCAAACAGAACGTGCATATGTTGCCACAGATTACACTTCAAGGATCGGTTAATCGATAAATTGAGCGATTAAGGAATGAGAAACTGTCAAATTGGACCAAAATTTAGTAATTTGAACCATAATTAAGCAATAAAAATATGCTATAACACTTGGAACAACGATTTACAAGGGATTTATATAACTATCATATGGAGTTACTTGGTCATTGTATGATGAACTAGTGAGATGATAGTCTTTGTAGAAATAATTGATAGAATTGAATGAAGGTTGTTGTATTAGACCATAATTCCTGTACTTAGACAAGTTTGTAGGACTATATATTAGTGTTACATGTTGAATTAAGTGACAATTTAATTGAATTAACCCCAAAAAAGACCCTTTTACGATATACACATGTTTCCACATATTACATGTCTGTTGCGATTTATCAAACAGAACATGCATCTGTTGCCACATATGACACTTCAATGATTGATTAATCGATAAATTGAGCGATAAAGGAATGAAAAAATGTCAAATTGGACCAAATTTTAGTACGTTGAACCATAATTAAGCAATAAAAATATGTTATAACACTTGGAACAATGATTTACTAGGGTGTTATAGAACTATCATGTGGAGTTACTTGGTCATTGTATGATGAACTAGTGAAATGATAGTCTATGTAAAAATAATTGATAGAATTGAATGAAGGTTGTTGTATTAGACCATAATTCTGTACTTAGACAAGTTGTAGGACTATATATTAGTGTTACATGTTGAATTAAGTGACAATTTAATTGAATTAACCCCAAAAAAGACCCTTTTACGATATACACATGTTTCCACATATTACATGTCTGTTGCGATTTATCAAACAGAACGTGCATATGTTGCCACAGATGACACTTCAAGGATTGGTTAATCGATAAATTGAGCGATTTAGGAATGGGAAAATGTTAAATTGGACAAAATTTTAGTACTTTCAACAATAATTAAGCAATAAAAATATGTTATAACACTTGGAACAACGATTTACAAGGGTGTTATAGAACTATCATATGCAGTTACTGGGTCACTGTATGATGAACTAGTGAGATGATAGGCTTTGTAAAAATAATTGATAGAATTGAATGAAGGTTGTTGTATTAGACCATAATTCTGTACTTAGACATGTTGTAGGACTATATATTTAGTGTTACATATTGAATTAGGTGACAATTTAATTGAATTAACCCCAAAAAGACCCTTTTACTGATATACACACGTTGCCACATATTACATGTCTGTTGCGATTTATCAAACAGAACGTGCATATGTTGCCACAGATGATACTTCAAGGATTGGTTAATCGATAAATTTAGCGATTTGGGAATGGGAAAATGTCAAATTGGACCAAATTTTAGTACTTTGAACAATAATTAAGCAATAAAAATATGTTATAACACTTGGAACAACGATTTACAAGGGTGTTTCATATGGAGTTACTGGGTCATTGTATGATGAACTAGTGAGATGATAGGCTTTGTAAAAATAATTGATAGAATTGAATGAATGTTGTTGTATTAGACCATAATTCTGTACTTAGACATGTTGTAGGACTATATATTAGTGTTACATATTGAATTAGGTGACAATTTAATTGAATTAACCCCAAAAAGACCCTTTTCTGATATACACACGTTGCCACATATTACATGTCTGTTGCGATTTATCAAACAAAATGTGAATATGTTGCCATATATGATACTTCAAGGATCGGTTAATCGATAAATTGAGCCATTTAGGAATGGAAAAATGTCAAATTTTTTTGGATTAAACATTTTATAAAGAACAAATTTAAAAACAAAACGTGCATATGTTGCCACACATGAAAATTTAATTAATACAGAAATTTAACTACTTCATCTATTTCTAAATCAGACCTGCATAATTCACAACGAAAGTGGAGGCTTTGAACAATGCAACAAATTGGTCATTTTCCCAACAAATGAGGTTATGGCACCCATCGATATAAAGTATATCGCATCTTCTAAGTTTTAGTGGAGTCATGTTGGCAATGAACATTTAGCCTTCTCTCATGGATTCATCGCCATTGAAGATTGAAATTATGGCAAGCACATAGGATGCACCAATGTGGCCACCGTCTGCTGCTTGACTAAGAATTCCCAATCCATTTGAATCGCTACGTTTGAAAAATTCATACTAAAGAAAAAATAACACATTTAAAATGCAAAATACATTGATAAAAACGTGAATACATTTGAAAAACATTAAAAATTACCACGCCTTTTCTGTATAAGGCTTCTAAATTCCCCAATGGTCTACACATTTCAAGGAAAGAAGTGCATCTTCGAACAACTGAACACGACCATATAAATACAGGAATGCTGAGCAATATTACCTTCTGATAGACAGAAGGTTCATTAGCGACTTGATTGAGGACACTGGAACTGAGAAATCAAATCAAATGGTTAGCAAATCAAATTAAAGAGCGAAAATTGTTTAATACATACTTACCTTAATTTAACCCTCATTAAATTTTTGAGGGAGTAGGAAGCAATCCTTTCAACGATATCAATTAGTAGTTCCCTCAGAAGGGATTCAATGTAGTTTTGCTTACTCATAGTCATTTTTGAAGATTTCTTATTCTTCCTTTCCATCTTGGAGAAAATTAAATGAAAGGACCTTCTATTGTTATGTTCTTATTATATAATATAATCCCAATGTAATGAATGTGAAAAGTCGTAACTTCTGAAGACGAAGAGGCACTTCTGACTTTTCAAATGCAAGTACTTAATTTTTTTGAAAAAAAGGTAAAATATGAAAAGTTGTAATTAATGAAGGATGTTGTTATATTAGACCGTAAATCAATTGAATTAGCCCAAAAAAATACATTTTAAGATATACACATGTTGCCACATATGACATATTTGTTGAAGTTTAAACTGTTAAATACAATATTTTATACCACAGAACGTACATATGTTGCCACATATGACATTTCAAGGATGGTCAAAATGAGAACACTATGAAAAAAACAAATATTTTTGGATTAAACATTTTATAAAGAACAAATTCAAAAATAAGTACAAAACACAAAAAGGCAACCTTTTTCACCATGAATTTGGTTTGCAAGTTATGTACATATGTTGCCACAGATGGCAAATTAATTAATACCACACAGTGGTATAAGACAGAAATTTAATTACATAATCTAGTTCTAAATCACAACTACATAAATCACAACGAATATCATCTTCATTGTCGTTTCCCATGGGCCAAATTCCTGCGTCTGATTTGCTCAAATTGATGAACAGTGCAACAAATGGGTCTTCCTCCCAACAAATAAGGTTCTGGCACCCACATTCCACCTAAAATATTTCGCAAATTATGTTGACATCTTCTGACTTTTAGTGGCTCCGTTTTTTCATGTTGGCAATGAACATTAAACCTTTTCTCATGGATTCATCGCCATTGAAGATTGAAATTATGGCAAGCACATAGGATGCACCAATGTGGCCACCGTCTGCTGCTTGACTAATCATTCCCAATGCAGTTGGATCGTTAAGGTTGAAAAAATCAAACTACAGAAGAAATAACACATTTAAAAGGTAAAATACATTGATAAAAATGTGAATACATATGAAAAACATTAAAAATTACCACGCCTTTTCTGTATAAGGATTCTAAATTCAACGATGCTTTGCACATTTCCAGGAAAGAAATCGCTTCTTGAACTATCGACCATCTACGATAAGGAATGCTGACTAATGTTACCTTTAGATATACAGAAAGTTCATTAGCGACTTGATTGAGGACCCTGGAACTGAGAAATCAAATCAAATGGTTAGGAAATCAAATTAAAGAGCGAAAAATGTTTAATACATATCTTAATTTAACCCTCATTAAATCTTTGAGGGAGTAGGAAGCAATCCTTTCAATGATCTCAATTAGTAGTTCCCTCGGAAGGGATTCAGTGTAGTTTTTTTTACTCACAGTCATTTTTGAAGATTTATTATTCTTTCAAGATTTCTTATATAATGCTAGGAAAATGAAATGTGTGAAAAGTTGCAACTTTTGAAGGCAACAGAAGAGAAGAGACACAACTTTTGACTTTTCAAATGAAAGTACTTATTTTTTTTTTGGAAAAAAGGGTCAAATATGAAGAGTTGTAATTAATTTTTTTCTTGAAAGTTGTTCCAATGACAGTAATTATTGATTGATGGTTCACACACCTTACACGTAATTATTTATTAGAAGTATATTGGAACATATGCGTTTTCGGTGGTACTTGTAACACATAATTGACATATGTTGGAGCATATGCAATATTATGTGGTAAGATATAACACATAATTGACATATGTTGAAACATATGCAATATTCTGTTGTAAAATCTAACACATAATTGACATATGTTGGAACATATGCAATATTCTGTTGTAAGTAGCAACACATAATTAATAAAATCACACATTTTATATAAATAACATAACATAAAGTTGAATTCAAATTAAGATAAGAAGATAGGGAACATCATCCTCAATAAAAAGAACATTCATTAAAATTCAACAACACTTATGGAGCATTTCGATTTGGCCATGTAGTTCTTTTGTGGCCAAAGTCCCTACATACGAAACACTTATTTTCTTGTTGGAAATGATTCACGAACTCCACATCGTCTCTTATATCTCCTTCTTCCAGGTTTTCTTTGATCAACATATGGAGGAGGTATTTCTCTCTCTATGACATCCAAAGGGACAATCCAAGAATCTTCAGGTGGCACCGGGTGAATATCCTCACAATATGCCATTATGTATATTTCCACTGAATAATATGGAGAGGAGTACTCATAAATCTAATTTCCAAAAATCGGCACCATATTGGGCTCGAAGCGCTGCCATGCCATGTGGACAAGGTATTTTGTCCAAGTAAAAAATTCTACAAGTACAAGTTCTTCTTTGTAGATCCACCGTAGCAACATCACCATGACCAGTGACACTGAACTTGTAGTTAGCGATTTGATGAGCCAACAACTTGTTGCCCGAGTTGACATACTTTGATATGTCTTTTTCAATTGAAGGAACAAATCTATTTGCAAAGTTCACCAGCTCCATGCGCCTCTGGTGAAATAAAAGTGCAAATCTCCTGTTTATTTCTTCAAATAGAGCGACAATGGGAAATTCTCTTTTAATATCAAACATAGAATTCACCGACTCTGTGCTGTTTGACGTCATAATGTTATATCTACACAACAAAAAATAAAAATCAATCAAAGCACATAAAATTACAATAAAATCAAACGAGATGGTACAGACAATAATGTACCTATTTCCTAGGTAGAATGCCCTGCTCCATGTGTGGAATCCAATACGTTCAAGAGTTTCAGCCGCCTTTGGTACCAAATCTCTTATTTGATTGAACTGGTCATTGAACTCACATATATCGTACGCCTTTGCTGCTTTATAAAAATGGGTCACTACCTTTGAATTGTGAAAGTTATTTCGAATATATTCCCCAAGGTGTCTCATGCAACAACCATAATGAGATGCAGGGTAGATAGTCTAAACCATCTTTCGAATACTTGGATGCCTATCAGAAATAATGCACAACTCATCAGTATCATCTACAAAGCTTCTCATATTTTGAAAAAAATATTCGTATGAGGCATCCCATTCCTTGTCCACAACACAGAAAGCAACTGGAAATATATGATTCTCAGCATCTTGTGCCACCGCCGATAGCAAAACTCCTTCATACTTGCTCCTTAGGAATGTCCCATCAACGGCTATTACTTTTCTCATTTCTTGAAAACCAGTTATCCAAGCGGCATATGATATAAAAAAGTACTTGAACCTCCCATTTTCATCCAGGGACAATGCCATCTTGCTTCCTGGATTTGCAACTTCAAGCATATAACGGTACACATTAAGCACTGCATATCTGTGCTCATGTGTTCCCCTAACATTAGACTTAGCATGCTCCATGCCCTTATAAATCTTCCAATAGCTTACCTTACAACCCAATTCTATGTGCAGTTGATTTGACATGTCTTTTGTGGATGGGCCTTTACCATTGGGAAACCTATTTTCAAAGTACTTACCTATGACTTTTGCCGTGGCATGGGGATTATGGCTTGTAAGATGCTCTGAACCACACGTATGGTACTTTACATAGATTCTAATGACAAAACCTGTCGCTACTTGTAAATTTCATAGCCCTCAGCCACTAATTGCACTCCGGATATGAACATTTAAAAGAAAACACATTACGAGAATTGATCACCTTTTTCAGTTCTAAAATCTTTTTTCAAGCAAGCAATTTTCAATGAATTTGCTAGTTCTTCCTTGTTCTTGAATGTCATGCCCTTATAAAAACCAGTTTCATCATCTCGAACATTATTCACACATGATGATTGAGAAGAACATGGAATGTTGCTGCCAACAATAGGTATAGGAGGATTGTGGCTCTCAAAGTCCGGTACGTCATCTTTTCCAATTTAAGCATCGTGATTATTCATGTCCACATCATAAAATTCATCATTTAACATATCTTGTTGGTTTTCTTCTAGATTATGATCCTTCTCGATAGGATTTACAACCACGTAGACTCTTAATAACGGCGGTCTCTCTGCTCCTCCAAAATAAACAACCAAACTAGGTTGATCAGTTATTTCAAAAGGTAAGACCTTCTCATTGTGAAAAAATAGGGAATGTAACTCATGACCAGATCTTTCAGTTGACAATTGTATCCACATTTTTCCATGACTAAATTCACAAAATCATCATACAAAATATTTCTTTTGACAGTCATCCCTACCGACCCTCCCTGTTTCTTACCATCCTTCCAACGCCAAATGTATCAATTTTTCTTCTCGATCCATTCACCACGACAATCAATCCCTACAAATAATCCCTCCATTTATTGCACCTGAAGAAATTAATTAAAAAAACAATTAGTACTAATGAAGAAATGTGTAAGTCATATGTTGCAACATATGACTATTATGTGGTGACATGTAAGTCATATGTTGCTACAATATAACTGATATGTTGTGACAAATAAATCACATGTGGCAATATGTGTAAGTTATATGTAGCAACATATGGCTATCATGTTGCAAAATGTAAGTCATATGTTGCTACATATAACTATTCTGTTGCGAAACATAAATCACATGTTGTGACAAAATGTATAAGTCATATGTTGCAACATATATAGCCATCTGATAGAAACGCGAATGTAAATTATTGAAGAAATTGCGGCTACCCAGATGATGATGAATGATTTCAAAGAACTGTTAATTTACTTACCAAAACAATGGTGTGTGAACCCAATCACTTATGAAGTAATTTCAATTGATACAGAACGAAATCTGGTCCACTGATTAGATTAGCTAAATCTGATTCAAGAAGATGAAAAGAGCTCAAGAAGGACCAGTAGCCAAGACCAACAATGTACGAAAACAAGAAGAAGAAGATGATGAAAAGAACGGGAAGAAGTAAGGCAAGCAACCAAGCAAGAAGAGAGAAAGAACATAGCAGAAGAAGAATAAGAAGAGGAATACGGCGGGGGGGGGGGGAATGTTTATTTCCCCCCTTTTGGTACAGCTGGTGGCTTCCCTCCAATTTTGGTTCCCACCAAAATTGGTTAAATTAGGTTTTAGTCATTTACCGTTTTACCCCTCATTTAATTCAATGGACCAAACTGCCAACTTATAAACTTGAGGGCAACTCCACAATCCTTAATCATTAATCACATAATTGTCACCTACACTCAATAATTAAGTCTTATGTCACCGCCCCTTTATTTTGACACCTTAATGTCACCTTTAATTCAAAGCCCCCACATTCCTTTAATCCTTCCTTTTTGCCTCTTTTTTTACTTTTTACTCAAAGGAACAATAGTTATAGAGTTCCCCAATCACTCAAATTGTTTGAAAACATCCGATAAAGGTCGGGTCAGGTTGTATTCATTTATTTTAAAAGAAAAAATTAGTTTATTTATTATTAATTTAAAAGTTTGAGCCAATTATCAATATGATGTATTTATCTATTTAATTTTGTAATAATTTTGACTATTTGTGACAATAACTATCTAAATAATAAAATAGTTACATTATATATATATATATATATATATATATATTCTTCTACTATACACACAATATACTACTGAATATAATATAATACTTACATTATTATAGGGAAAATTACGTGTTTAAGCAAATTTATACTATTTAATAAATCATCATAGCAATGGTTTGCTATAATTACCACTCACGACTAACATTAACCATTAATTATTTGGGTTGGCTTCAAGTTTGTATAATTAGCCACATTTGTATAATTTGCCACATTTGTAGAATTTTCAACTAACAATTCATCGTTTGATTTGTATTTGTATATGACGACGATTCCCCTCGATTTTTCAGTTTGATCACCATATACATTCAATCTTTATTTGTATAACCTTTTAAAGTTTGTATAAACGTATATTTTTCTGATTTTGTATTATATAATTTATATAATGTAATTTGTATAACTGTTTAAAGTTCATATGTTTATGTTTGTAGTGATTCGTTATTTCGAATTTTATTACTTTGTATTACTCAATTATTCGAAAACATGAAAATTATACCAACGTCCTAGCGAATTATACAAACGAGATGTGAAGTATACAAATTATTTCCCTTTCTCCTTCCTCTCTCAATCTTGCTCGCCTCTCTCCTCCCTCTCTCGATCTCGCTCGCCATATATAAAAATACGTATGTATATCAGTTACATATATACAATTTTTTTGACAAATATACATATACAATTCGTCTTCTCTACTCTTTGCTCTCTCTCGATCGCCTCTCTCAATCTCACTCATCACACTCCACCCTATAACATGTAGCTATGAATTGTAATTAGTAAACTATAGTTATGAAGCGTAATTAAGCTATTTTTGAGTGACTATATACGAAAGTTCCCCAACATTATATTTTATATACATATATATATATATATATATATATATATATATATATATATATATATATATATATATATATTTCTAATACACACACAATGTACTACTTAATATAATATAATACTTACATTATAGGGAAAATTACTGGTTAAACAAATTTATACTATTAAATTAGTCATCGTAGCTATAGTTTGCTATAATTACCACTCGCGACTAACATTAAGTAATGCAAAGACTAAATGAGCCTTTGACTTTATTAATATATAAATAAATTTATACTATTTAATTAGTCATCATAGCTATAGTTTACTATAATTACCACTCGCGACTAACATTAAGAAATGCAAAGACTCAGTGAGCCTTTAACTTTATTAATGTAATATAAATTCAAAATATACAAAGTTACATATTTCGAATCATATTTTCCAATTCATCTGTATTAACATTAACAAGAATTGGCTCATAATTTCAAAATCAACTAATCCGTAATTTGGACTTGCTTGGGCTGACGGATCCCCAAATTCTTCTTTCCTTTCTACTCCTTCTCCTCCTCCTCCTCTTGATCCTTCTCCTTCTCTTTCTCCTTCTCCTTCTTCTTCTCTTTCTCATTTTTCGGTATTTTGTGTTTTACCTTTGTTTCTTCGCTCTGATCTAATTCAATCGATGAGGCTAATTAAAACATTCATGACATTGCTTCCCAATGAACGATGATTATCTACGATCAATTGTCTTCCTTGACTAAATGCATCTCTAATACAACAGTTGACATATCAACATTTAGCACATTCCTCGCCAAGGTGAAAAGTACTGGATATTGTCTTTGGTTGTTCTTCCACCATTCCAGTCTGTTAATATTATTTTGATAGTGCTCTGGGGCGTGTCTCAAATTATAATTAAGCTCATCCTGATTTATATTGCTTTGGGATGTAGGTTGTATTCTATTCCAAACAGATAAATTAGTAACATCGTGGGCAGACATACCATGTGTCTGTCTTTAAGAAGATGATGACTTGTTTGAAGGACGAAATAGAGGAACACAATGAGTAGGCAACATTATCAAGTAAAGTGACATAATGATTATATAATGATTGAATATGATCATTTCTATCATTCATACTTTTAAACATCCTTGGTTCCTCATCAATTTGAATATCTAAAACATTATATATAATTCGAAAAAATTCAGACATAGTAACAAATTTCATACACGGATTTAACATAGCACCAACCAAATAAATACAATAGTAGCGGCATAAAATTTTTCTAAAAAAATAACAATGTCATTAATTTTAGGCATAATGCATAAACATGACCCTTAACTTGATGTCAGTTGGCAACTATGACCTTTAACTTTGGGTGTGCACAAGTAGGCACTTAAACTTGTATAAAATTAAGCAAATGAACACATTCATCCTACATGACACCCTACGTGGCAATTTTGTGCCGTACGTGGCATCCTATGTGTATTGTGCCATGTAGGACACTTGTCTTTACTTGTTTAATTTTATATAAGTTTAAGTGTCTATTTGTGTACATTCAAAATTGGAGGGCATAGTTGTCCGCTGAAGCCAAGTTAAGGGTCATGTTTATGTATTATGCCTTAATTTTAACCCAATATGATTCTTGTAATGTCACTTCAAAAAATTTATATGCATATTGGTTAAAAGTTGTAGTTATAGGCACTTTATAAATGTAGCAAGATTTTTTAAAAAATAAGTAGAATTCCACTCAGACTCTATTTCTTCGGCATTAATCTTGCTCTATGATTATTTTCCTCACATTTTCTTTTAAATTCTGTAAGTCTAACATTTATGTTATTTCCTTGAATAAAACCAACTGCATGCCTAACTTTTTCAACTGTGGGCTTAAAATAATAAAGACCATCTTTTACAATTAAATTATATATATGACAAGCACATCTAATATAAAAAATATCCTGTAAATTAAGCTTGACTCTTAATGAATCTGTCATGACCCGAGCCTATACCCCGGAAGTGACACGGCGTACAAGACT